CAGTCCGTTTATTGTTCCTGGAAGGGGGTGGGGCAGAGATGCCTTCTTTGCCTTTTCTATCTCCAAAGTTTCCACTGATTTTCATTTCAGGGGGTGGGGACTGAGAATACAGGTCGAATGGCTGGCTTGTGCCCCTGGGAAGTCACAGCCAGGGGCCTGTGGGTACTGACTTATCCTGCATCGTTCACGGCCACGAAACCACTGAATTCTGGCAATGCAATGTCAGCGTTCACCTTGGGCAGACCTCAGCCTTCTGAACCCCAAAACTCCAATAGCGCCTTTGCAGGAGGCTGGTGAGAGGTTGGGTATGAAAGTCTTTTGATATACAGAATTGAGTCGAAATTCCATTTGGACCCAAGATTGATTTAATTCTCTGAAACTCACTTGACCCAGTTCATTGTGTGTGTGAGTGTGTGTGTGTGTGTGTCGGATCTTTCCGGGGCATCCTTTTTATGTAGGTATTGATTTATTCCTGCTCTTTCTTGCCCTGATCAGCCCCATCTCCGTCCCCACGTCCTTTCCGGCCGTGTCCCCCAGTGTCCCCCGGCCAGTGGCACTGGCGGCCCGGGCAGCGCCCGCCGCGCGCGTCCTTTGTTCTCGGGCTGCGGGAGGCGCGGGCCGGCCCTGCCTGCTTCGCCGGGGTCCCCCAAGGACTTGTAAGCAGATCGGCGGGAGTGGAGAGGCCAAATTACACCCCGGGGGACTTTTTAACGAAAATCCTAAATTTCATTTAGGCTGCTGGTGAGGCCACGCGGTAGCAAAGGCTGAGTCGCTCCCGGCTTTGTGCAAGCGGGGCGCGGGGAGCCGGGTCCCTCTCGGACGGCGCCCCCGGGGCTGGCTACGCCCCTCGGGCCCCTGGGCGGCTGCAACGGCCCCCTCATCGCCTCCCGCTCCCAGCCTTCCGTTTCCCTCCACGTCCCCTTCCCGCGCCTGACCCCTCCCGGGCCGGGAGCACAGTCGGTAACGAGAAACCCATTCGGAGAGGGGAGCTGTGGCCGCAGAGAGCCCGGCCACGGAGAGGGAGCGCGTTTTGTGCAAAGAGGGTCCGGGTCACCAGGGAATTCCTGGATTGTCTCAGGCTGTCGTGGGTGATGTCCATCACGCCGTGCGCACGCCATCTGCTCGGTATTATGCTCTCAGTTGCCAGGCTACCTGCTGTACGCAGGGACACTCGACTGCGGGGCTCCGCGTCCGCCGCGGCCAGACGCGCGGCGCGGGAGGGGGACGCGGCCTGATTAAGCCATCTGCCGGGGGCGGGGGCGCGGGAGCGGGCGGCCGCGGAGCCCGGGTAGACAGCGCCATCTGCTGGCCACGGTGAGAACTGCTGCTGCTCCCGCGCCTCCGACCTGGACCACCTGGAAAAGGATGAAGGCCTGGGAGAGCATCCTCGGGGCCACTTCTCCTGGACATCCCTGTCACCCTGCCCCCCAACCACCACCACCACCACCACCACAGTCTCATCTTTGTGACCCTCCCTCCGAGAAGCCCACCGTCTTGGCTTCTCCGCCAGCAGCCCCGGCCCCTGCCACTCAAACACTGAACATATTCTTAAAAAAAAAAAAAAACTTCCAAGTAGGAAAATTCCTTGCGTGGAGATTTATAAATAAACAGCTGGCTGCTCTTGGGAGATATTTTTACCACTGCTGACTTTTTGGTTGTGGCGAGTTTCTATTTCTTTTTTCACAGCGCTGTCTTTTGAAGTCAGAAACTGTCTCTTTGAGAGGCAGGAGGGTTTATACCCGACTAGCGTTTAGAAAATTACTAAGATGGGGTCCCTGGAGGGAGAGCTGTGTAGAACAGATTCGGTAGTTTTGCTTTCTTTTTCCTCTCTTTATTTTACCGAAGAGTGAGGGGGTTGGAGAGTAGTAATGATCTATGTAGCTAGGTGGGTTTCCAGGAAGAGGAAGTATTCAGATTCTGGGCAGAAAGCAAGGGAGGTTAGGGAGTGGGGAACACGCCAGTAATGAAGGCTAAAAATACCTCATCGTTTGGCTTCACAGTGTGGCATGTCACATGACAGAAGCTCGGCCTCCTGTTCTCTAATTGCACAGCCCCAAGTGGGTCCTCCCTAGACACAGGATCAAGGGCCTGAAAATCTGAAACTTGACAGACTAGTTCTCGCTAGGTTCTGTTACACTTCAGGTTAAAAGAAGCCATGTAATATAAAACAGCTATGTCCACTGTTCATGCCTTGGGATACGCACCTGGGGCTGTCAGTGTCTCTCACCTGCTGTGGAATGCTGGGATGGTCCTACAGAAGTTGCATTTGGCAGACAATCCTCCAGCCTGTCAGTCTGGTGGTCTTCAATGAGGAACTTGAAGGCTAAGCTTATAGGAGACAATTGTAGACCCTGGAAGTAACAGTTTGACTATGTGGGGGTAGAGCCAAAAGTGGCACAATGTGTAAACCTCATCACCCCATTTGTCTCCCCCTTTCTTTCCCAGTGCTGAAAAGACTGGGAAGGCAAATTCCCCCACTCTCTCCACTCCTGGGCATCCCCAGCTGTGCAAGGCTGGTCACACCAGACAAGGATACCTCAAAGTACACAAGAGAAATGGGGCAAACTGCTTCAGCCCTCTCCAGAAACTCAAGTGAACAAAACTGTCCTCCCTTGAGTCTCATTTTTCTCTTCAAATTGCTCCTCTTTATCAAAACTGAAAAATATTAAGTATAATGAAGTCCAAGACAGAAAAAAATCTGTATTGTTGATTGGCTAACTGTGTATCAGTGTGAATGTGTTTGTTAAAGTGTTAAGTCAATTAACCATTTGTCTCTGAGGTGGCAAGAAAGAGCTTTCTCCCATGGGGAAGGGCTTGGAAAGCAGGTAGCAAATATTTAGGAAAAAAAGAGGAGCCCAAGATACCTAGACCCCTCCTGGGGTCAGCCATAAAGTTAGCTTTTTGGTAGCATCACCTTCCCTGGCATTCTTTGGTAAAAGGTTTTTTATAAATGTTAAAAATATTTCATGGCCATCTGTGTAAATGCAGAGAAAATACACAGATAGAAACTTTTCTCAACTTTAGCACTGGCAGTCACATATGTAAAATTGAACACTGTCCATTCATGAGAGGCAGGAAGGCCAGGGAGAGTAGAAGGAATCCTGAGTTTAGAATCAGTCAGCCTCCTAATTTGGCTGGTGGTGGGTGTGCATTGACTGACCTTGTGAGCTGGACCACTGTTCTCACCAACCAGAACCTCTTGGGCTGTTGTTTCTGGGGTGAAAGGAGGAGCGTGTTTTGTTTTGGCTTCTGTTTTGTCTGAGTGGATGGGGGGAGGGAAGAAGTACTGAAGATGCAGGTTAGGTAGAAACTCAGAGGCTGCAGGGGCTCAAACCCAGGACAGTCCCTCTACTATAGACTAACTTCGACTCTGTTTTAGGAGGAAACTGCCAACACCTTCAGAGAAAAGGAAGGGAAGCAAAAGGGAAAATATTAAAATCCAGTTCAGATCATAGGGGCTGCCAGAGTAGCTTAAGGTGTAGAGCACCTGCCTAGCAAGCATGAGGCCCTGAGTTCAAGCCCCAGTACTACCAAAAACAACAATAAAAAAGTTACTGCAGTTCAGATTATAATTTTAAAAGTAACTGTAGAGGCCAGGCTCAGTGGTTTATGCCTGTAATCCCAATCTACTCAGGAGGTAGAGATCAGGAGGATCATGGTTCATGACCAGCCCAGGCAAAAAGTTACCAATACCCTATCTCAACAGCCACAAAAAAGCCAGTTGTGGTAGTGATGTCTATAATCCCAGCCATATAGGAGGCTGACCCCAAGCAAAAGCCTGAGACACTATCTGAAAAATAAGTAAAGCAAAAAAAGGCTGGGGGCATGGCTTAAGCGGTAGAGCACCTGCCTTAGCAAGCACAAGGTCCTGAGTTCAAACTCCAGTTCCACCAAAAAACAAAAGCTGCAGTTATTCTCAGTCATTTCTTATTATTTAATTCTCATAGCAGTGCATCACTGGCTGGCTGTTCCTGTCCTTATATGTGTGTCCACTTAATTTGCATATCACTCAGAAGCCAGCTCTTGTATGTTCAGCTTGAAAGTTCAGTGGATTTGGGAGAGTCTTTCTGTGGAACAGTCCAGCAATACTTGCATTGCCAAGCGTGCTTAGTAGAAGGTGTCGAAACTGAGTCTTGTGGCCACACACCTACTGTTCCTATCAGTGGATTTTCCCTAGCAGTCCCCACTGTCCAGCTGTAACAGACTTCCCCTGTGAGCACATTCTCCAGGGGACAGTCCCTCGGGCTCCATGGGAGTAAAGCCACATCCATCTTACCTCCTGTTTCCTAAGGAGCAGTCCTGAAAAGTTGTCATCATTTGACTCTCTGAAATAATTATAGAATCAAGAGTCCCAGTCCAAACCTTCATATTCAAATTACCCAGACACATGAGACTCAATTCTATTTTTAAAGATGTTAGAAGATTAACATAGCCTTGATCACAATAAAAAAATGCCATTTCTCACCATCAAAAAATGACCAGAAAATAAATAAATAAATCTCCGATAAGCAGAACTTAAAAAAAAATCTTATCAAGACTCTGAAATGTTGCAATTAATTAGAATAATACCGAGTATCAGATCCATCGATTAGTAACTTTAATATATATGTGTCTCTCCTCCTTGCTAAGACGACGTCCATTTTGGCCAAATAGATAGTAAGGAGATGGGATTTTCAGGTAAGGACAGGATGTGACCCTCAGGACTTAAGGTGAGCCCAGCCCCAGGGCTCACTCCCTTTCCTCTGAGGACCGCAGAGGAAGTCTGGTCAGTCCCATCTGAATCAGAACACTGGTCTCAGGTTTCCCAAAGTCAGTGCCTGCCACTGTCGCTGTAGCCTGTCCACTTCCACTGAGGACTATGAGGTTGTTTGATGGAAGTGCCACGTGTGCCCCTCAGAAGCCCTGGGGTCCACAAGGCGGGCCCTCTGCCGATCCCCACTGGCAAGGCAGAGCGTGTCCTTGTGGAATCACTGCATCCCTCTCTCTTCTTGTCCCCACAGGAGCAGCACCCAGTGGGGCTTCCCCGGAGCACAGGCCCCATGCAGTCCCCCATGCCCCCAGGCTCCAGTGGCCTGGTCTCTGGAGCCAGCCCCGCAGGCCCCGGCTTCCTGGGCAGCCAGCCTCAGGCCGCCATCATGAAGCAGATGGTGATGGACCAGCGGGCACAGTTCCTGCGGGAGCAGAGGCAGCAGCAGCAGCAGCAGCAGATTCTGGCTGAGCAGGTAACAGGCCCCATCCCTGCAGGGAGTGCTTATCTGTCACTTGCTGCCTGCCAGAGGTCACCGCAGTCCTTTCCCCTGGCCAGATGATCAGAGACCAGAATTTCTCAGGCTTTTCAGTTAGTTAGCCTTGTTCCTGTAAGGAATTGGTTTGTTCTTCAAAGACAGGCTTCAGATATCTCATTGCCAGAAAGTTCTCCCATTCCCCTGGCTCCTTCTCCTCTGATTTCTGGTCCCTGAGTCTGCTCTGTGTAATCAGATGCACTGGGGACTGGCTCACGTTCTTCATAAGCCCGGATATTTCTAGCATAAAGCAAAAAATAAAAAACTTCAGAGAACTGTTTCTTGGAGGAGCCTGTCAGGAGGAGGGGTTGGGGAGGATTTACAGAACTGGTCATAACCAATGACCCAGGAACAACAGCACCACATAAGGCCCACAGAACCTCCAGGAAACTGGAACCAGGGTCACAGACAGGGTGCCAACTGAAGAAAGTTCCCGACAGCTTTTCAAATAGCTCAGGAAACCTGTGAGTTAAAGGAAGGCCTAACACAAGCATGCCTTTACCTGAGGTACCTTGGTCCACCCTCCATGTAATTCCTCCTGCTTGGAAAGAAAGCCCTCCCTGCACACTGCTCCTGTAGGTTTTGGTTTGTTTTGTTTTCAGAGATGCCTGCATCTGATTTAATTTTATCCCAGGAAAGGGCCTGAGGCTGTCCACAAGAGAGTCCCAGATGGCCCCTGTGGGGACTGCACAGGGCTTCTCACAGAGAGGCTCTTTATTGTCAGAGGTATGAGGCTATTTTTTTAGAGCTCAAAGCCCAGTGTGGCTCTGACTCCCAGTTATCCTTCTAGAATGTTCCTAGTAGGATCAGAATTTTGGAAATTACCAAGCGTCCACCATCATCTACCCACAAGACACCATGTAAAACATAGGCACATCGAAATCCCTAGTAACCCAGTACAGAGGCTCTAAGTAACACCAGTCATCCACCAAAGACGAAAATTGTCCTGTTGAGCACAGTTCCCTGCTTTTGTTTCCTGACCAGCTGTGTAATTATCTCCCGTTCTACCAAGGTCAGTCAGCTGCCCGGCAGCTATTGCACAAACAAACCTCTGTCCCGCTCACCCTGCATAAGGTGTGTGACAAGTAGCTGTGCTAATATCTCCCAGGCAGTGATAAATGGAGCTGCGGAGGGAAGCTGGGCTTTGTAAATCCTCTCCTCGGTCAATCCCAGGACACTTCAGGTGTGCCTGGTGTTGTGAGTGATGGCTTTTGGTTTGTGAGCTGCAACCAAGGTACACAGAGAGTCAGGTAATCAAGCAGAACTCACCTGTGCTGACCCGGGGCCATTCCCACATGGCGGCCAGGTCAGCTGAGCCCTGGGGAACAATGATGCCCACAGACTCAGAGGCAAGAAAATGAGGAGATCCCTCAGGATCCAGGACATGGAGGGGTACGGCTCCTTGGAAAAGATGGAGGCAAAGGGGAAGCAGCGACCTGAAACTATGATGACAGGCCAAGCTGGGATCACTTTCCTCAGTCTCAGCTTCTGCCATCCTATTGTTCATATGTGATTTGGAAAAAAAAAAAAAAAAAAGATGATTTAGTCTCCTCCTTCCCCCAGCAGGTTAGGTTTGAATAATGTCCCTCATAAAGATCACGAGAGCTGGGCGCCAGTGACACTTCTATAATCTAAGCTACTTGGGAGACTGAGATCAGGAGAATCAGTTTGAGGCCAACCTGGGCAAATAGTTCATGAGACCCAATCAGCAGAGCAAAAGGGACTGGAGGTGTGGTTCAAGCGGCAGAGCACTGCTCTGCAAACACAAAGCTCTGAGTTCAAACTCCAGTCCCATAGGCTCAGATGAGCTAATGTGTAAACAAATTTCTTTGGTATCTGTGTGCTCTGCAAAAGTGTATGCAGGGACTTGTCACATTGTTGTAGAAGAGCTCCAGCCCATCGATGTCACTCCTGCGGACACTGCCTATTAATGCAGGCTATCTCAGTGGTCTCCAAGTGGGAAGCTCTCAACTTTCTGTTGTGAGAATGAATATTTTTGGTGGGTGCTGGGGATCAAACCCAGGGCTTCACACATACTAGACAAGTACCCTACCACTGAGCTACACCCCAGTCCCAAGAATAAATACTGACTGCCACATCAATGCCAGGCCAATTTGCTGATTTTCCTGGTCTCTGAGGTGCTTCCAATTTTAGGAACAGTGTTCTAGAAACGCTTGTGTTTTCTGAGGGGAAACAGAAGGATGTGGGGTCCTGCATGTCTTTGGGACTTTACAGTGATTCTCAGTTAACTGGTAGAGTGGCTCAAGTGATAGAGCAGCTGCCTAGCAAGCATGAAGTCCTGAGTTCAAATCCAAGTACCCAAAAAAAAAAAAAGTGATTCTCAGTTGGCCTGGCCATCAGAGCCAAGCAAGTTGGAAGACGGCAGGAATTAGCATTTAGTCCTTTGTTCTCGTTGAGCACAGAGCACCCATTCAAAAAGGCTGGTCAGAGTTTACAATGTTAGATCTCAAAGACACAGTCAAGATCATGATGCCTCTGTTCCTCCTGATATGTGGGATAGTTAAATTTTTCTGCCATATGTGAACTTTTGCTTTTTTTTTTTTCTATTTTTTCCTTTTTTTTTTTTCGGTGCTGGGGACTGAACTCAGGGCCTTGCGCTTAAGCGCTCTTCCACTGAGCTAAATCCCCAACCTCCATATGTGAACCTTTGCTGAGGGGAAACGTCTAAAGACTTTCAGTAATGTCTTTGGACTTTCAATAATCCCTTTCTATGTCGAAAAGACTGACATGATTTCTGCCCTATACGTTAATGGTCTATACATTGATTAATTTCAACAATTTTCTTCAGAATCCTGTATAGACACACAGGCTGGGTCAATAGGACAGAGGCTGTTTTCGGGTTTTTTTGGGGTTTTTTTTGATGGTGGTGGTTCTCATTTTCCCTTTGGATGCCAGATTGCTGGCTGACCTTATAGACAAAAAGGACAAAAGAAGATTTTAGAGCCATCCAGGAACAAGCACAAGAGAAAAAATAGAAGTAAACACAGGTAGGAAGAAGCGGTCACTGTGTGTTATTTTCATAATGAGCACTGTAAAGGACAGGGACCTTGTTGTATGTTCTCCGCAGCCCTTGCAGGTACTTAATGAATATTCAGCAGCTGCGGGGAGAGGTCAGGCAGCATCCGATGGTCCTATGGTTCCTTGCCCGCTGGCTGACCTCTTTCTCTGCTCTTTGCCTCCCTCTTATCCTTTCCCGGTACACACACAGCGTGATGATGATATAGTACCTGCCCAGTATGTTGGTAGCACGTAGGAAGTGCAGAATGTCCAAGAGGGGAGGAAGAAAGCCTAAAACGAAGACCTCCCAGCTCCTGGCACATGTCCCATGTGACTCTCTCAAACAGTAAATGCTGAATATTTCACTTGTGGAGATGCAGTTTGCAGTGAGTGTGGCTTCATGGGAATAAGACTAGCCATTTTTATGGCCCCTGAGGATCCCATCTTCCTATGCCCAAAGCATCTCTTTAGGTCATTAAAAAAAATAGTTGCTTGTCTCTTTGAGCCAGTCCCCGAGGTGCTAAGGAAAGCATACAGGCTGATGTTGGGAAGTCCAAGTTCAAATGCCTCCCTCTGCACACATTCCTCAGGAGCTAGCGACTCAGAGCTCGGAAATGTGGACAGATTCTCACCAAAAGGTGTGGGCGGATGTTCCTAACAGTGGTGTTTGCAGCACAAAATGAAGCACTCTAGACAACCTTCTCTAGCAGAATGGGGAAGCTGAGGTATGTTTGTACAGTAGTGCGAATGCACCAGCACGGGTACATCTCAGCATGGATGTATCTCGCAAATACGGCAAGGAGTTCAAGGAGTCAGACTCAGAAGTTTTGGGCACCCCCCCATTCCATAAAGTACTGAAGCTAATCTCTAAGGGTCAAAGTCAGGATAACAGGGCCCTGCATCAACGCAGGGTGACGACTGGAACGGGCTCAGGGGCTTTTGGAAATGTTTTCTTGCATTTGGTTTCTGAGTTGGTACAGGGGAGTCCATTTTTGTGACACCCCATTCCCCTGTAAACTTGCACTTGGTGCACTCGCCCGCATGCATGTTATTCTTCAATGCAAAGTTTTGTTCTTTGAACAAAACCCTGCATTCCTCAGGACTGCCAGGGTATTTAATTGTGTGCTCATCTCCCTGTCCCTCTGTCCTCTGTTGTTCCAGCAGTTACAGCAATCACATCTGCCCCGACAGCACCTCCAGCAGCAGCGGAGTCCGTACCCAGTGCAGCAGGTCAATCAGTTTCAAGGTGAGACCATTGCACGCCTCCTCGTATCATAGCCCCCCCACGAGTGACATGTAAGTGACTCTGTAGCCAGTGGCATTGTCCTCCATGCTGTGTTTGTGTCCATGGAGTATATGACCTGTTTGACAACTGGTAAGGTAAGAATACTGATCAATCAGAATGATTCCTGGAGGCACACGGGGGTCACCTGCTTTGCCAGGCATTAATTAGCCTCTTGGTCCCTGGGTCACAGAGAGGCCCTAGAGGACCCAGGATACAGTGGTTAGAATAGGAGGAAAGACTCGGGCGCTGTCCTCTACCAAAGGTACAGCATACGTTAATGTTTTAACAGCCAGTAAGGACATGTCAGTGCTCGTTGGCCCAATGGCAGCCTCGTTTATGTCTACATGATCACATTAGTGGCCACAGGATAAAAATCCTGTGCTGCTCATTCCTGCAGGCAGAATAACCAAATCCTTACTACCAAAAACCAAAATGGAAGGATCTGGTTTACAAACACCGCTGGTCTCTGCTGAATATAAAAGACAAATGGCACCTTGAGGGCCATTAGGCTGTCCAGTCCTGCCACCGTTTGCGGAAATCCTGAATCGTGACCCCAGGAGCCCTGGGCGCACTGTCTGCCAGTGCTGGCACTTTTTCATAAATGTAGAAGGCACACTCAAATATCAAAACCCTCCATCTCTAAGAGAGAGTCCTGGAGGACCTTGTATGGGGTAGAAGAAGAGCCTGAGGACCCTTCCCGATCTTATTCACAGAGGTATTCAGGGGGCCACAGGAGGCACCTTGCAGCAGAAAGCCTGCTTTGTTGGACCTAATTCAATGCGTCCTAATGTTACCTATCCTTTTAAGATTCTGCTGGGAGCTATGGGGCCTCTTGCATAGAAATATGCATATATGCAAATATATACAAACTCTGATATCATTTTACAAGTGTTACCCTCAGGAATTTTATCAATAGATTGGGTGAACAATTTCTGACTTAGCATAACATTTTTCAGTCTTTGGGTTGTAATATACAGGTTATAAAAACAATTTAATGAGTCACAACCAGGATTTTTTTTAAGTGAAATATAATGGAAATTATCAGAGCACATGGGGAATTTTTGTTTTTATTATAAGCCCAAGTGTACATATCCTGGATCGTGTTCTCTTGAGTTGTGGCTTTAGAAGTCTGAAAGTCAATAAGGTCTCTTGACATCTTACTGCTTGTGACTGGGGCCTGAGCAGCTTCTACCCTGGGCCACTTATTTCACCTTAGAGTCCTTTGGACTTGACACGCAGAAGGGCAAAAGGAATTGAACTGTCCACAGGTGTTCTGTGCACTGAACCAGCCAATATTCGTTGAAGGTTTAGTTTTCTCACTTTGCAGTGGGTGGGGAAGAGTGGAAGAGAGTCATGATAACATACAGTGTTGCGGGTCTGGATTCTTCTTTTCATCCTAGTTCCCAAACTTTGGCCTGCATCAGAATCACCAGACAGGTGGCCTCCATTCCTGGTTCCTCTCATTGTGTAGGTCTGACCTGAGGATTTGCATTTCTAACCAACATCCAGGAGTTGCTGGCCCTGCTGGCTTAGAGGAGCACACATTGAGAACTGCTACTTTATATCATGATCTAATTACAAACACCAAAGTTAATAACGTCAACACAATGTCCCTGAACTTTTCTAGGTTCGTAACTCATTATCTTTCTAGAATAAAGGGACTCACTAAAATTTAAAAATTCCTCTGTGTATTACAGGACATAGACATATATGTCCAGTTTAAAAGTTCTACTGCTTGAACTGTTCTGAAATCCCAAACCACAGATAATCAACGTAGAAATTTAGATCCACAGAAGGGGAACAGGCAGTGTGACAGTGTGGAGTCCCTGAGCGAATTGGTTTGAGATCATTTTTAAAATATGTTTACATACTATTTTTATGTATTTTACTGACAGCCGGGAAAATGGCAAATTGATAGATAATAAATAGTGTCCTTGGAGAAAAGCTCTGGTAGGAATAACACCAAGAACCTATGCCAGATTCTCTCACCTCCACACGAAGGTCTCACAGACCACCCTTCGCTCACTGGGGTCTGTGCCCCTGGGCACTGGTACATGCCTATTGGAAAATAGGTACTTTATACAAATGTAGGCTTCTTATGCGTGAAAATAGAACATAGGCCCTCTTAGGAGAAAATAGGAATATAGAAGATTTTCTTTGACATGGTGATGTTAACCAGCAGACAAGAAAATTAATGTGACTACAGTGTCATCATAATATCTGTTTTAGACAAAAAGAAAATGAAGGAGTAGTCTGTTTAATATATGTAACAACCAGGTAAAGACAATTTAATTCTTTGGATGCATTTGAATTTTTTCCTTTGTATATTTAAAATTACTGAAGGCATAAAACCTAGTTAATAAAAGTCTTTTTAGTTCGCTTACATTGAAAATACTATGCTGATTACTGATTTTCATTTTTTGGTGGGACTCAGGGCTTCACACTTGAAGCAAGAGCTCCACTGCTTGAGCTACATACCCATCCATTTTGTTCTGGTTATTGTAGAGATGGGATCTCAAGAATATTTGCCTGAGCTGGCCTCAAACCATGATCCTCCTGGTCTCAGCCTCCCAAATAACTAAGATTGCAAGCACAAGCCACCAGGACCCAGCTGATTGCTGATTTTTAAATGTTTTTTTTGTTTAAAAAAAAATTACATCTATGTAGCGTAGTCATTTGCGCTAAGTAAAAAATAATAGTTGGCTTTGAGTAATGCTTCCTACCTGTTAAATAGCATCACATTTCTGCCCTCTACAGAAAGGGACCTATTTCCCACTCACAAAACCACTCCGGACAATAGCCAGTCCTTCAGTCTATCCATTATAAATATACAACGCAATGTTCAAATTACAAAAGTCCTCTCATCTGTTCCTGGCAGCCACCAGCATATGTAAGTAATTTGGATCTATCCAATCAATCTGAGTCAGCAATACTTTTTTCCCCTTAAATTTTTCTAGAAACAACTCAATAGCTCATTTCACTATAGCTGATCCAAGCTGATCGATACAAATTTAGTGGTTAAGTTCCCAAAACTTTATAACAAGATTGTAAGTTGCAGTGAATACTACCACCCAGTGTTTAACCAAGAAATTTTGATTTTTCAGAAAATCACTTGGCTAAGATTAAGCTTAAATTTAAAAAAAAAGTGAAATCTTCTTGGGGTTTTGCTCTAGGTCTCTCGGGTCTCCCCACAGTATCCATTTCATTTTTCAATGCAACAGGATATTGATTCCAACCCACAGAAACTTAGGTCATAATCAAAATTCCCATAATTTTCTTTCTTAAACAAAGGAAAAAAATATGGAGACATATTTGCTCTCCAGAAATCAATAACCCCATCAGGAAGACAAAAAAAAAAAAATGCTTCAGTTATCTGCCAGGCTGTTAAGGTGCCAGGCTTAACAAGGTTAGACTGTTCCCATCTGACTTCTTGTCACAGGTCCAGATGGGATCAAATTTGCTTATACTAGCAATTGGCTCCCATTACTGTATGTTCTTTAAATGTCCAGGGAAAAAACTATTTTGCTTTTTCTCATAGACTTAATCATTAGCAGAGACATAGAAAAAATCCATCTTTGTGGACCTCCTAGCCCTTTACCACACAGACTAGTGTTCCACAGATGACATTCCATCCTCTTGTCTGGTTTGAACGTGTCCTGGGATCATGTAAAAATAAAAAAAAGATGCTTTATAGAAGTCAAATGACTTGGTGTTGATACTCTGGTCGACTTTTAAACAGCATCATTAAAACTGTGTTAGCGATCTTCAGAGAGAAGCGCAGCGTTCACTGTCAAGTAGCAGAAGACAGGATGACTTCCTTTTCTAGAGGCGGAAGCTCCATTTGCACCGATGTGTTGTGATTCAGAGACCAAGAAGCATGTGGAAATCTACAGAGTGGATCTAAAAGATGTCTCGCCTGTCAAAATTGCTTCTAGGCAAGGCAATGACCTTTAACCTCTCAAATCCCACTCAGGTCTTAAGGGAAATCGGCCTAATGGCTTTCAGTGATAGCATTCTCTACTGGACTGTGTTCCACCTCACAAACAGAATATGCAGAATGATCAGATGTTTCTTCTTAATTTCCCTTCACCGCCAATAAAATGGCCTCTCACTGGCTTGCTGCTATCATATCCAGAAGAGAAATTATTTGCTTCTAAAATGTGAACAAAAATGACAGGTGTGTTAAGGGCAAAGGTCAACCACAAAAACTCACATACAGTAAGTATGTTCCCAATTTTGTGTGTCAATTTATATATAAATAAGAGTCAGCCGTGGCCATCTTGGGATGGTAGGAATTGGGGTGACTGACTTTAATTTTTCTCTTTGTGCTTTACAGGGCTTTCCAAATTTTTCAGTTGGCATATGTTGTAATCATAAAATAATTGTTTTTAATAAAGATTTATTATCAAAAATAGATCCTTTCATATGGAGTTTTGCCCTTCCCAGAGAAAGTTCCAGCAGCCTGCTACAGGATGTTGCTTACAGAGAGGAGTGAGGTCTGATGTGTACCCTTTCTTTCGCTGTAGGCTCACCCCAGGACATAGCAGCCGTGAGAAGCCAGGCAGCCCTACAGAGCATGCGAACGTCACGGTTGATGGCACAGAATGCAGGCATGATGGGAATGGGAGCCTCCCAGAACCCAGGGACAATGGCCACAGCAGTGGCCCAGTCAGAAATGGGACTGACCCCTTATAGCACTGCTCCTACCAGCCAGCCCGGAATGTACAACATGAGTACAGGGATGAGCCCAATGCTGCAGCACCCAAACCAAAGTGGCATGAGTGTCACCCACAACCAAGCCCAGGGACCGAGGCAGCCTGCCTCTGGCCAGGGTGTAGGGATGGTAAGCAGCTTTGGCCAGAGCGTGCTGGTGAACTCAGCCCTTACCCAGCAGCATCAGCAGATGAAAGGACCAGTGAGCCAGGCCTTGCCTAGGCCTCCAGGCCCTCCAAGGCTGCAGAGCATCATGGGAACAGTCCAGCAAGGAGCACAAAGCTGGCAACAGAGGAGCTTGCAGGGGATGCCTGGGAGGACTAGTGGAGAATTGGGTCCCTTCAACAATGGTGCCAGCTACCCACTTCAAGCTGGCCAGCCAAGACTGAGCAAGCAGCACTTCCCACAGGGACTGAGCCAGTCAGTCATGGACGCTAACACTGGCACAGTGAGAGCCCTCAACCCAGCTACCATGGCCCGGCAGATGATGTCCCCGCTCCCAGGACAGCAAGGCACCAGCCAAGCAAGGCCAATGGTCATGTCTGGCCTGAGCCAGGGTGTCCCTGGCATGCCAGCATTTAGCCAGCCCCCAGCACAGCAGCAAATACCCAGTGGTAGCTTTGCTGCCAATAGCCAGAACCAGGCCTATGAGCGAACCCCACCTCAGGACATGTCATACAATTATAGTGGCGAAGGTGCTGGGGCTTCCTTCCCCGGCCTCCCGGACAGTGCAGACCTTGTAGACTCCATCATCAAAGGTGGGCCAGGAGACGAGTGGATGCAAGAGCTCGATGAATTGTTTGGTAACCCCTAGTCAGGGGGGGGTCATGGGAGCCACAACTATAGTGGTGAAAAATTCACAAGTAAAAAAAGAAACAGGATGTTGACCCATCCTTGTTTTTTGTTTTTTTGACCCACGTAAACTGAGCAAAACTGCAGCTGGCTGACAGTGGGAGACCCAGGTGTGGTGCCCCAGCCCTAGGGGGCCTCATTGCACCTGATTTTCACACAGCAATCGAGGGGAGATCCATGCACATCCCTGCTGCAGAGAAGGGACCCCAAAGGCAGGTGGGGAAGACGAAGCAGCCAGAGGCCCTCTGCCCAGCGTCCCTGTGACCCAGCAAGAGCTGCTCCGGCCCAGAGGGACTGTGGCCCAAGACAAAGTCCTCTAGGCCCTCCCGTTCCAGGTCCTGAGACTGCAGCTTTGGAGACGAAGACGGAGCCTCGGGCAGGGAGAGCCCTGCAAAGGCTGCTGAGTGACGGACAGGCCACGTGCACAGGTCAGAAAGACACTGAACACTGAGTGGAAAGAGATGTACACATCCGGCACGCTCCTGTGTTTGGAGCACAGACTGGAAGAAAGCCAGTCCTGGGGAGATGACCTGTTTCCTGCCCTGGGAGGACCCTCAGGAATGACAAGTCTTTGCTGCTCGCCCCCTCACCAGGACAGGCGATGGAGCTTGAGAGGGGCCCATCCAGCAGCCCAAGGTGGGCAGCCCTCAGCCAGTGGCCAGGTGGCCATCATTCTGGGTTGGGCTGGAGCCTCCTGGGGTCCCCATACAATATGATACATCCAGGTGGTTCTCATCTGCTTCTGGTGGCCACACGGTGGAGAGACCCTTGTGTGTCTGTCACCTGGGCACTTCCTCCTCCAGCCCTGCCTCTGTTCCTCTTTGCTTCTCCTGACAGACTCTTCAAGGAGTGAAGCGTTGGGGGCAGAGTCAAAATAAATGCAGGAGGAACTTACACAATGACTGAAACACAAAGGCAACGCTGGAGTTTTCTTTCTCTACCACATATTTGAATGAATGTCCCTACTGGAACTGAGTGGGCCGTGTTCACATCCGGGTGTGGTTTATATGAGTCATATCCAATGCTTTATATCTCCAGGGAGGAATGGCCTGGAAGTCACCAGTTCTGGCTCCTGTTGGGAAAATCCCAGGGGTGACTCTCTAAAATTGGCCTTGTTTCATCACCACTATCATCAGAAAGACAAATATAAAACCCTAGAGATGGAGAAGCAGAAAAATCAATAGCTCTACCTTACGAATTTGGATGATAAAGGGGAGAAGATATGGTTCCTTTCCTAAGGGCAAAGTAACCCACTTCAAAATTTCTGTATAGTTGTTCTCTGTAAGTCATTCATCTACCCTAAGTGAGGTCGTGGGAAGGAATCCACAGCTCCAATCTATAGGCTTGTCTCTCGGTCTTTGCATCCCCTTGCACAGTACCATTTTGGAGGCCATGTGTCACAAGCATTGTCCATAGCATGTACTTTCCTTCTGCCCCCGCCGCCAACCCTGGTCCCACATGCAGGCTCCATTCTGTGCATTCACACGCACCTATCTCCTCATGGAAGACAAGAGCCTGTGGGGGCTGGACTGGCTGGACCCAGGGAAGTCAGAGAAGACAAGCTCTCCTGGACAGCTGGAGCAGAGGCTGTGGAGGGGTGGCAGGCAGGCAGCATTGCCCTTGACTTGCTCTTCTTATGCCAAGGGTTCCAGACCTGCTCATCAAGGGGCAGGAAGTGAAGCCAGAGGTGTCAGGTTATTGGACTGTGTGCCCTGTCCGAAGAGGTGGTGGCGTGGGTGACCGTGAAGTCCCTGAATGGAGAAGCATGCCACCAGGGAAATTCTGAGTGGAACAGATGAAAACCAAAAAAAAAAAAAAAAACCCAGAAAGCAAATGAGAAGACATAGAGAACATAATTACCACTGTTTCCTGCCAAGTCCAGGAAATAAATCCATAACCATAAGCAATGATGGGAACCTGGAGGTGGCTGGTGGAGAGAGGGAGTTCCATTACCTTTCAAAGCTTCCTCCAAGTGCTCAGTAAGGGGACCAACTAATAGGTAGATTTTACTAAGGTTGTTTTGTTTTGTTTTTACTACGGTGCTGATGTATATGTAATGTCTAAAAAAAGTTATTTGTACATAAGTTTTTACAATACTGCAGATTATCACTGGGTCTACTATCTGTAAAAAAATATACATATAAATATATATATACTGTTTGTTTAAAATAGAGTATTTTTATTTCATTCCTTAACCCATCTTTGCAGCAGTGGTACTGCACTTCAAACAACATCTAATTACTAATTTGTACTGTATGATCTATGACAACTTGCTCCATTTTATTCAGATTTTTCTAGTTTTCTGTTTTTGCTTTGTACATTGAGCATTGCTTATTTCATTTTAAGAAATGTACAGAACTCTGAAATGTAGAAATGAAGTGATGTTGACATACCACTTTTAAAGAAAAGAAAAACAAAAATAAAAGGTCACTATCTGAGTCAACCCAAAGTATCATTAATTTTAGGATCTCCAACATTCATTAAATATATCATTCCTGGGCTTTAATTGATTAACAGGCAGTTCTTTTCTCAAAATTTTGATGTCATTATTTAAACACTTATTTAACAGTAGAGATCTATCATTCCCAGCCACACAATTCAGCCACACAACTGAAACTTTCTAAATTTGCCAGAGAACCCTGAGGGATAGCGCCAAAGGAAGGGAGAAAGTCTACTTTTCCCTTCAAGAGCCATAGTGAGATCTGTTTATGGATCCAGTACCGTGGCAATTCAATTTCTAACTAGTTTGTTGAGAGGACTCAGAAAATAGATAGTAAAGATCTTATGAGGGAAAAAAAAAAAAGAAAAACAGACCAAGGACTATAATGGGGTGAAGAAATTCAGGGGTCTTGCCCCACTGTGGTAGACACTGTCAGTAACACCCCACCATTACTTCTGCCAGCCCACACAGTGCCTCTCAAAGCAGGGCCCTGCCTGGTTTCCTACATCGTCCCCAGCCTCGAGCTGAAAGTGCTTATAAGTTCAAAACAGTCCACTGCAAACTTGTCAGGGCAAACTCAGACAGACGGTGTCCCTGCAGGATCAAGCTAAAGGCTGCCCCATTACTTGATTCCTTCCCCATCTCAGTCCTGTTGTCCCATGGCCTTTTCTTTTCTCCTCCTGTGAGTCCTTCTTCAAGACATCACATACCTGTGAAAACATCTCTTCAGTTCTAGGAGACCCGTCCCAAGACTCCCCAACAAACTTTAAAAAGAATAATAAAAAAGCAAGTTTCAAACCTGTCTGGGGTTAAGCAGAGAAAAAGGCCATGAAACAAAGTCATCCTCAAAAATGGCTCAAAAACAACAGTGAGTTTTAATATACACGAACCAAGAGAAAGAATGAACGTGACTGTGGAAAGAGAGGCTAGCCCTACCCATGGTGTGCTGTACTTGCAGACTGGCAAAGAACACCGTGGAGAAAGCAATGTGGCACTGGGCTTGGTCCCCAAGACACAGGCTGAGCCTCCTCCAGATAACAGAGGAGAGAAAAGTGGACGATTTCAGGCAGACGGGCACAGGGAAGCGAGCGACAGGGGTAAAATCAAGAAGCTCTGAGAAGAGCCTGTTACTCTCAGTTCTGACTGATGGAAGCCACAGGGATTAAAACCACAGTCTTATATCTGTTTGCCAGTGGATACCTTCTCCCTTTTTAAATTTTTATTTTTATTTACTTTTTCTTTTTCTTTTTTTTTTTTGGTGGTGGTCCTGGGTTTGAACTCAGGCTTGCTAGGCAGGCTCTCCACTACTTGAGCCACACCTCTAGTCCTACCTTTCTCCTTAAAAAAAATAAAATTAGTTTTATTGAGACAGAAATTGATCATGTGGTATGAAGCTTACATTGAAACACAATTTTTGCTGAGATTTAACACATACCTAAAAAGATTTTATGACATAGCTCTGGACTCAGGTCTAAGATGCTGTCAAGAATTGAAGGATTTCATGATCCAGGACAGAGCATTTTGGGTATCAGTTGATTCTTAAGATTTCATTGGCTTGTTTTATGTTACCAAGTGAACACTACCCCAATATAAAACTTACTCTCCTGAAATCAGGACTCTCAAAATCAGTTAATCCTTGAATTAACTCAATGAAATGTGTTCTGTCAGTGACTAAACACTGCCACTAATGACCTCAGAGTTCAAAGTTCAAAAACAGAGGCTCCAAAGAGCTTCCACCCTAATCAAGAGTATGGGCCCTTTTCTTCCCTTCTCTCCTGTCTCCTATATCTCCCTCAGCCCCTCCTGCAATACTGAGCCAGTGGCTCAGTTGGACAAACTGATGTTTGTAACTGCATAATTGGAAAAGTCAGGGTGTGTTTTTTATCTAATTTCAAGTCAGAATGATCTGCCTGGGTATACTCTCCAATAAAAAGCTCCCTCCTTGGTCGGTTTCCAAAATGGCAGATTTGGTGGCTATGAACTGGCTTCATCTTCTGTGGACAGCAAAAGTTAAGCTCAGGCAAGGAACGCTCTGGTTTACAGATTTCAGGCATTCACAGCTTGTTTTAGTCCACATTTATGGTACCAAAAAAATTTTTTTGAAAAGGTAAAATATTCTGAACAGAGAACCAAATCATTAGTTGTTCTTTGAACTGCTTCACCATTTCCCCAATGGGGTTCCCAATTTAACCCTACGCCCTTCCTCCCTGCCCCATCCTTCCCACTCCCAAAATGACATGCCGGTAATAGCAAAAAGAAAAACTACACACATGCTGCACTGCAAAAATGCAGCAGGAACACAGTTGGGAAGAAGGCTGTGGGTTGTGGAAATACTCCCGGGGAGGGACAGTGCCTTTTAGCTCGTCCACACACCAACGCGGCAAGCCTCACCCTTCCTAGGCCCTCCACTGGGAGGAGTGCAAACTATCAAACTTGGAGCAGCTAACACACTTGGCTGCAGGGCACAGAAACTCTACTGGCTCTTCCAGAAACATCTTCTCAGGCTGCTCACGACAAGAACTCCTTCCCTCGTCACCTGAAATCCATAGTCAGAGGTGATGGGGGCTGGTACTCAGTGAGTTCATGCCTGCCATTTTGAGTGAGTTCATGCCTGTCCTATGTTTTTGTCTCTTGATTTTTGCTTTTGTTTGTCATCAACCTGGAGGGTTAGGGGTGCCACTTGAGCCTTTCTTCATAGACGGATGTAACGCCCTGTGGACACTTGACATTGGCTTCCTTGCAAGCATCAGGTCGGCCTCATCAGTGTTCTTCCATCTCATAAGCCTCCTGGAGTCTGTTGCTCCAATAACCGGCCCAGTTCCAAACCCCAGGCAGAGCCTCAATTTTCTTTCTTCTTCTCTGGTTCTCTCTCCTCTCCCTTAGTTTCAGAATCAGAATCAGCTTTGTACTTGCTTGCCTCTCACATCTGTCTCCTGCAGGTTATCTGTGGCTGAAGAAATCAGCAGGGAGCCAGTAGCAACCAGCTTCTCTCCTGACAACTCTGCCTCGCCCTCTGAGAAACCCTTCCTCCTGTGCCCTTGACCCCTTGGGCGGTGAAGAGCTTCTCCCACTACATATTCCTCTCCTTCTTCTAGCACCTCCTCTTTCGTGCTTTGTTTTCTCATAGTGCCACCAGCTTCCAGGTGTAAAGGGCGACACTGCTCAAAGGGTGGCACTGCTCAGACCAGTACCCAGCGCTGCACTACAGGTATGTGGCATTGAGCTGCAGAAGGAGTACAGCCCAGGAGAGTCACAGACCTTGGTCACCATCAAGCTCCTTGCTGAAGCTGTGCACCACATGACCGCCATTGGCACCATGAGACTTGAAGTCCACTTTCTCCTCTTTGATGATTAACCTGACATTAGGATGCTTGACTGACATTATGAAATCTTAGTGCAGTCAATTGCGTGGTGGGAGAAGAAAGGACATCTCTCTAGGAAGTCACTGGGCATCTCTCTGCCCCAGTGAGAACACTGTAGCTGCTGCTTGATGGACGAAGGAACAGTTACAAGCATCAGGTGAGCCATTTCTGTCCTTTTCCGTTCTTCTCAAGGAGGACTGTGACTGGAGAAAGGAGGGAGAACTGTCCGGGCCACATTCTACTGACCTCCAACACTAATAAGAAAAGCAAGGAGGAGAACTGCTTGGGAAGGCGTCAGGAGAACCTCTGCATGGCCAGCACCCTATCCTTTCATTTCCTTTTTGTTCTCTCCTTTTCAGTCTTCCCCACTATTCTGTCTTTCATTAAGTTCTAACGACATAAGATTCCTATACTGGTGTCCCCTGGACCAGCTGCCACAGCTACCTGTCCCATTTTGTATAATAGCTGGAAGGAATTATCACAGCTTCCACACACTTGGGAGCTGGGTGTCACGACCCACACCCAGGACATCAGGGACAGGCCAACACTAATTACTGCAGCTCTACAAAGACACTATGTCCCCAGTCACACCAACTGCATGCAACCCAAGAAACTACCATGCCAGCAAGAACCTGCTTTTAGGTTTAACTTCTCCTAGTTTTTAAAACTTTTTACTAGGAATATTTAACCAACCAGGAAAGTAGAAAGAATACCGGTCAGTCATCATTAATGCTTTGCCATAACAGGCATCGTTTGGAAAACATTTCAAAGCAAATTACTCATCTCTGACCCCTCCCACTCCGTGCCTCAGCACACAGCTCCACAGAAGGACTTTCTCTTCTTTAGACACTATGTTGCTATCACACTAACACAGCTAACACTATTAGCTCCTAATGCCTTCTAATGCTTGCTCACCTTGTTCCAACTGTCTCACAAATGTCTTCCTTGGCTGTTTTTTTTTCCTAACTAGGATCTATAGAGAATCTCATACTGCCCTTTGGTTTTTGTGCCCCTTAAGACTTTCTTAATAGAGAAAAAGTTCTCTGTCCCTTTTTTTAAGGACTTGGACTTTTTCAAATAATGAATGTGATGTCTAAAAATAAAATTTGTCAATTTACTAACATACAAAAATGTATATGCAACCATCAAGCCAATCAGAAACTCACAAGCCGGGTGTGTCTCAGCACCAGGGAGGTTAAGGCAGGAGGACTGTGAGTGTAAGGCTAGCCTAGGAGACATAATGAGACTCTGTCACAACAACAAAAAGAAACTCACATCTCTTTGGCCAGAAAGAATGAAATCTGGCTGTGGAAGAGGCTGGCTCTAATCAGGGTCCTGTAGCCAAATTTAATAAGAATTAAAATATCAAGAGGCCTGGTGGCAAAGAATTAGAACAAAGGAAACAAGTTCATGGCGATGTTTAAAGACACAGAGTTTTGGTAGCCTGGTACATCCTCTGCTCAGTGCCACATCTTGTTTGGCCACCCGTGTGCGCGCCTGTGTGGGTGCGTGCATGCATGGTGCACGTTGTCCCGAACCAATTAGGAGCAAAATAGAAATTCTTGTAAAATCCTAAAATATAAGATTTGGATTTGTTTTTTCTATTTCCAAATGACATGATTATGCAGTAATTAGGCAATAAGGTCAAAAATTTGCATTCTCTCTTCCTTCACTGTCTTCCATGTATAAAACAAAATGTCATGATTCAAGCTGCCATCATAACAGATAAGAATACCAAATAGAATGACCTTTGGAATCAGCATTTTAGAGTAGCAGCCCCACTTTACCTAAGAGAAAATGGATGCAGAGAACCACAAACTGCTGGGGTAGCCCGGCCAGCAGGTGACAGGACAAAAGAAGGCCATCTAAGCGCTGACATCTTTGCTTTTTGCCACACGACTTCTTATTGATGGGGTGTCCAAGGTCAAACAGCCAATGAGTAGGGGGACCTGGCCTAGTCTTCAACTGTCCCCATTCTGGGTCAGCACGTTCCCAGGACACACTGGTAATTGGGACAGGGAGGTTGCTATGTCCTTTTTTCTCATTATTCTGGAAACACTAGTATCTCATTATTCTGGAAAGGCTTTTGTTGCCTTTCCTTTATTCATAGCCTCTGTAACTTCCCTTGTCCCTACTGTAAAGAAACATTCACTAGCTTCTGGAAGATGTCCACACCAGATTCAAAGTTGTCTGATTGTCTCTGAAAACCTGAGAGGGTTCTTCTCCTAAAATATTACGGACGCTTCTAAGACTTTTGTCCTAGAATCTTGGAGGTCTGCGAGGCTGCATTATTCCATTTCACAGATGAAGAACGTGAAGAAATGTCAAATGCATTGTGTCAGACAGCAACTGCACATCAAGATCAGACCAACAGCCCAGGTTCCCCTGGCATCTGTATCCCCTCCCCAAACTCCACGGGATACAGATGTGCAATGGAACCCATCAGAGTCCACAGCTGTCAGCAAGATCCTCCTCCCTCTGCCCAGAGGCACAAATAATTCATTTAGCACTGGTCCCCGGGTAGTTCCTTACAATAATACAACTTTTTTCCTTTTTCCTTTTTCTTTATAAAATACGCTTTCACAACCAGATTTGTTTGGTTCCATTAGTTGATGACGCCCTTCTCTGGCTACTTTATTTGCTTTTCTGATGCCTCCCACTTCCAACCATCTGTTGCTTTCCTGCAACCAGTTTAGGGGGCTGAACTGCCTTAGCAGCATCTGTCTGGAACTTTCCATCAAGACAGAAACTGTCTCAGAAGCAGGCTATGTCAGTGATCCACAGAAAGCCCAGCACACGAGTCAGGCCACTCTGTCCCCATAAAAACAATCAGAACCTCAACATGCACTTCTAAAACCAGAGCTCAGCACACGTCCACTGGTGATATGGATGGACCTGCCCCAGGAAATTTGGCTCTTAAACAGGAAACGTGTTCTGTAAAGTGAGTGTTTCCATAGTGCAATGTCAAAAAAAAACAACAGAAAGAACTGTTCTCTTGAAATTTATTTAACAAATGACAACATGTTACTTTCAGCATGGAAACAGCCAGCTTCTGCATGCATGAAGGGAAGAGAAAAAGCTAGACGCGCCACCTCAGAGTCTTGGCAAGACAGCGGTCCTTTTATTCATTGAGAAAGTGGCTTGCAATCCCCAGCCCACTGAGGAGAATCAACAAGGCCAATGTCCCCAGGCTCAACTGGAAACCGAAGACCCTGCAGGGCAGACATGATGGAGAGGAATGAGTGACAGACTGGACTGTGACAGGAGCTGGGAGGTCATGACTGACACTGCCCAGAACTTCCATGTTTTTTGCCATTTGAGACATTGGTTCATCGTATAAATGAAAGACAATGCTAAGTGTCATCCTTGGCCACTCTAGCAAGGCTGGACAGCGTTGCTTTCCTGAAAATGTTCTAGAGACAACGCAGGATTTTTGCAAGGAGTGCATGGTTTTCTTCCTGCATCCCCCCATCTCATGCCTGATTTGCAGCCTGGCAAGACTGGGCCAGGGCAACGTGGGTCACTTCTGCCACTGTGACTCTGCGTTCTTACTACCTCTCGGGGAGAGGAAACTAACTCAGACTCCAGCCTGTGCATCTTTTGAAAACACACCGTTATCGGGTCTTCCTTACCTTTTTTCAGCAGCTTCTGAATATCCCCAGAAGTACTTGTGACGGCCAAATAGGTACACTAGACCCAGGCCAGCTGCAAAAACTGTGAAAGGAAAAAACAAGAAAGAAAGAAAAGGTTCCAGGAATGGGGGAGGGGAGGGATGAATTCATCCTCAGAACTTTAGTAAATGTTGCTTTGTACCCCCAGTACAACAATAATAAAAAAATTTTAAATGAACCACAAAAAAAAAAGGTTAAAGATTAAAAACAGAAAAGGTATGTAATATATCAGTCTCTCAAAATAAGGTACAGAGACTGAGAAAGTATTCATAAAATATATATTTTTGACAAAATGCTTATATCCAAAATATCTAGAGAACTCTTTCAGTTCTGTAATAAAACAACTTTTTTAAATGGGCAAAATATTTGAGTAGACAATTCACATAAGAAGATAAATAAATGTGCCAATAATCACATGAAAAATGTCTCAACATGATTCAAAGTCAACAAACTGCCACTTAAAGCCGCAGTGAGATGACAGCCACCGGAATGGCTAAAAGTTTGAAACACCAGCAGTACCAAATGGTGAAGATGTGAAGCAAACAGAACCTCATCGATCTCTGGTAGGGATGCAAAATAGTGCAGCCACTTTGGGAAAAGTTCTAGAAGTTTCTTACAAAAGTAAATATTTTTTGACCCAAAAATTCCATTCCTATGTTATGGCTATGGAAGCACATACCCCTAAAAAGACCTGACTGTGAAGAGCCGTGGATAGCATGAATTATTTATTCACAATAATAAATAATAATTAGGAATTGTTTATCCATAATAACCCAAAATTGGAAACAGCCCAGAAATTCTATCAACAGGAGAGTCAGTAACAAGCTGTGGGGAGTCACACGGTGGAAAACTACTCAGCAGCGAAAAGCACTGTGTGTGAATGGAACACTGCACAAGGCCACCTACTGCCCCATTCCAGTTATATGAAGCTCTAGGATGGGCAAAACAGGGAAAGGGTGGCTGGGAAGGACAGGAGGACATTTCCTGGGATCTATAGGTTTGATAGGGATTTGCACACTTCTCAAAATGCATTGAATACTTAGGATCTGTGCATTTTACTACACGTAAATTTTATCTCAAAAAGAAAGAAATGAAAGCTACAAATATGATGTTGTAGCATCCTGACCAATGAAAATATCAATGTCTTCCCTGTGCAAGAGTCACTGTCTTCCTCAGCACCTCACAGATGCCAGCTGCCACAGCTGTTTTGTGAATGCTTGGAGTCTATGCATGGGACCATGATATTTCTACATAAAATTAAATTCATTACTTTACTTGGACACGAGGTTTTTACTTCCACAATATGCCAGGAATTACTCTAAGGATTGAGTCAGCAGCTCCTTGCCTTTATAGAGTTTTTATTCAATCAGCAAACACAGACAATAAACAGAAAAAAATGAGAAGAAAGTTTCAGACTTGAAAGTGTCACGAAGACACTGAAGAGGAATGAGACAGGAACGAGCCAGAAGAGGCCACTTTTGGAGAAGGCTCAGGGAAGCCCTCCTGAGGTGATGATGTTTGTATGTGGGGGTGCGGGGGTCAAAAGAATGAGAACAAGAAGATCCAGTGAGGTGGCAGAGCCCACCTGGCATCTGAGGAAGTTGAACGATTCTGCAAACGCTCTTACTTTGGAGAATCACTGCTCCTGTCTATGGAATGGTCTGGAGCAGCTAGTAGGCTCAGTTTAGAAGAGAAAGAATGAAAAGAAAATGGTGACAAAAATTCCCACCAGGGAGTTGACCTCATTCAGTCCATCATGGGGAAATTCAAGGGGTCAAATGGCAGAGACAGAATCCCATTATCAAAAAGACACTCTTCTTATTAGTTGTCAATATGCTCTTATATAAAAAGGAACATCCACTTTCATTCATGTCATGAATGACAAAAGTATGGGTTGGATAAAGTTAAAAATTCTTTCTCTAAAGGTCATTTTTTCTGAAATTCCTCAGTTGACAGTAAAAGTTGCAGGAAAGAGTTTGATGGGGTTTCCTTTCTGCAGCAGGATTTGGGTTTATTTAAATCTTAGCAGTCAAGTGCAGATCAAATGAGGCCAGGAACATTACCAGAAACCAAAGGGGACTCAATTTCCCCAAATAAAGTGGTTGGCGTAGGTCTGACTACCTGTTAAATGGCAAGGCGGAGTTTGGATAAAGCCCTGGCTCTCCAAGGACACCCGAGTCCAGTAGAAAGGGGATTTTACAGAATTGCTACATACAAACAGTAGCACTGCATCCTTGGGGACCCCAGTGCATGGGTGGTTGGGACAAATATCTATAGACCCTGCCTGTATGTTGCTAAGTGCCAAGTTGGAAAAATTAATTATCTCTGTGCCTCAATTTCCTCATCTGTAAAGTAGGAATTAATGACTGATGCTACTTCATATGAAGTTTTTAAATCCTACAAATCTTATACATGAGGCTTAAAACTTGCAGGGTGGATGGCTGAAACGACAAGAGTGCTTACATAAGCACCACCACAAAAAAAAAAAAGAGAGAGAGAGAGACCAGAGACTTAAAACTTAAAAATAATACCTGGCACCCCCACCCAGAACAATAAAGACAAAAATAAATTAGTCAGGATATTCAGGATATTTAGTAAAATATATACACCTGGCGTATAACAAGTGCTCGCTAAACATTAGCTATAATTATTAAGATGAGCTGTTAATTCTGTGTTCTGTTCCTCTACTTAAGTTAGAATCAGGTCATTTGATTTGAAGGTCAAATTCATGTCATTTTCATCCCTAGGTGTCCAGCACATAGCTTGTTCCAAGCTTTTGGCTTTTGTGGTGCCAGGGATCAAACCCAGGGCCTTGCACAAGCTAAGCAAGTGCTGCACCGCCCAGTTACAGTCCCTTTGCTTTTGAGGCAGGTGGACGTGGCTTGGTGGACCCACCGTTTATGACCTTCATACCATCTGCTTCCCGAGTGCTGGGATTACCAGCATGCAATGCCGTGCCTGGTTCCAAGTTTTTTCTTAATTATTAATTAAATCACGATGAAGCCAAAGTGAGTTTGTCTGCAACACAGATGAATGTGGCCTTGCTTGTTCTGTTTCAAATCGTTTCCAGGATCAGTAGCTACATGGTTGCCTGGCTAATCCTTAATGGTTTTTAAGCACCTTAGTCATCGTCAGAACTGACCAGACTTGTATTTTGTACTTACCTTGGCTGAAATACCAGCCAGCCAGCCACAAGGTTATGAGGAAGACAGGATAAAACTCCACAGAGTTTTGTCTGCAGGAGAAACAAAATACCTGAGTTAATTTATGAGGAACTGTGCACTAATGAGTTGATTTTTTTTCACCTGGAAGTAAACAGCCAGTCTAGTCCAACAAAAATAGTAGAACTAACATACAGAATTTAAGGCTGGGTGCGGTGGCTCACACCTGTAATCCTAACTACTCAGGAGGCAGAGATCAGGAGGATTGCGGTTCAAAGCCAGCCCCAACAAATAGTTCACGAGACCTTATTTCAAAAATATTCAATGCAAAAAAGGACTGGTGGAGCTCACGTGGTAGAGTGCCTGCCTAGCAAGAGTGAAACCCTAAGTTTTTGTTTTTGTTTTTGTTCTTTTGCTGAATAAGAAGATACATTGGCTTAATTCCAGTACTGCTTCCCCATGCACTGGAGCAGTCTTTAAGACACACTGTTTGCTGAACAAAAGACTTCTGGATTTTTCCTCAGGGGGATATTGTCTCATGGGGGAGAGGTTCAGCTGAGGCTGTTAGTGTGTAAAGCAGGGAGTTGACCTCATTGGCTTGACCTCTGGGGTGGGGGTGGCGGGGTGTCTTGCAGGTGATGAAGACATATCACATGTACAATGCTGACAGCATCAGCGCTCAGAGCAAGCTAAAGGAAGCAGAGAAGCAGGAGGACCGGCAAGCTCACGTTCCCCTGACTCTACAGCCAAGGTCCGCATTGAGGAGAAACATGTTTGAAGGAGCTCAGTAAAGAGATCGAGAAGATGAAGAAGGTAGGCATGCATTGGAAACTGTAGAGGCAGGAGGAAAGTTCTGGAAGGCAGTCTTGATACAAATTTCCCAGTAGGTACTATGAAGAGCTGAACAAAGAAACTTTGGGTTCTTTTAGAGCCTAATGACCAAAAGAGCCTTTCCCCTATACCCTGGCACGAATCCTAAGTATTAGAAGAACTTGGGGATGTGGACTCTAAGTTTTTAACCTGTAGCAGATAGATTAGAACCCGTAGTTCTGGCAACCAGTAGTTGCCTTTCCTAGTCCATTTTCCAAATCAAGTGAAATATCCTGAATTGAAGAAGCCCTAAGTTCAAACCTCAGTACCACCAAAAAAAAGAAATGAGTCTTTCCAGGTAGTACTCAAACATTGCTTAAATCTCAGAGCAGGGCTGAGAACCATTCTCCCCCGTGGAAGTTGCCACTGGTAGAAATGAGTCATAGTTCTTTCGTGACAGGCTACCTGAGCCTAAAAGATCATTCTGTGTCTTATCTAAAAGACCCAGGTTACAGTAAACAAGTTTCTTCTAAAAAATTCCCTACCATCCATTTTCTTCCACTGGAGTGACTCAGAACATTAAAAGATGGTTTTTCAGTAATTCCCCTAAATTCTGAAGTAAATGAAAAACCAAATTTAATTCCCATTTTATGGAGAAAGAAATGGAAAGCCCAAGTTGACTGATGTGTTTCAGAGTCAAAAGAAAACAGTGCCCATCTCCAGTTCCAAAGCCTTGTCAGGTCGAATTGTCTCTATTCATAGAAAACTTGGGTGGAAAATTTGATACTATTTTAAGCAAAAAGGAATAGTTCTCTGGAAGCTATAATTAATTCAACTGCACCCAGTGAAGAGGAAAAATGATAAATTACATTCACCCTCCTTCCTGAGCTATGCCCCAAGTGATCTAGGTTAGGTTGGCTTAGCTCTTTGAGGACAATACCACAACTAGAAAGAACTAGGTGGAAGAGCTGTAGTCTACAGGGTTATAAAGGATCTCCCATCCTGCCTTAAACAAGCCTTGAAGTTTTACTACTCAAAGTTAAAAAGCAATCGAGCAATTAACCTAGAAATACCTGGTGATGATTGGTGAAGACCTGGGTCTTTTAGCCTGGTCACCAGAAATAATTTTTTTTCTTAATGAAAAAAAAAAAGAATGAAAGAAAGCACCATTCTTCCTTCCTTCTCCATACTCCAAGGGAAATTGTGGCTGGGTCAGCTCAACCGTATTAGCTGATAACCTCAACTACATAGGACAAAGCTCTCTGACAGTCATTAGGCCAGCTCCTTACGCTGGGTAAGAAAAGTGTACAATTGACAAATGCAATGCTCACATTCAGGCCAGGGCTGTTGCAGAATCCTGAATCACAAGTGGAAAGTTTTATTGTAACTAGCAGAAACAGTGAGGTTCCCCACACAGCTCTCTAAAGGCCAGGAGGGAGATGAGCATCAGTCCCCTAGGAAACAGGAAACATGGATGCAAACATGGTACCATGGATGCAAACAATGCGTCTTCTTCCTTTTCTCACCATTGTCTTTAAAGCCCAGAAAGGCCACAGATGACCCACAGAATGCCTCCAAGAGCACAACACAAACCAGAGCCACAGCTGTCTAGTCCTCACAAGACATAACCAGCGTCATTCTTTCTGCTGCTTCCATCCTTAGCATGAATTCACTTCTGATAGGTGTCCTTTTTTTTTTTTAAATTAATGTCTTTTTAACTTTGTAAATGGTTATGATTGGGTAAGTGAAAAGATACCTATAAATTTGTATAGTCAGAATAATTAAATAAAACAAGCGACAGCTTTGTGGCATTTCCCTTTCCGTGGCTAAATCTACAGAACTGTGTTTCCATGAAGCAAAAGAAAGGAATAGCCATGGATTGTTCTAGTCTTTCCACATTAGTTGGAATTTGATTTGATCCTTTTTGGAAACCTCATGCCATTACTCCATCACTTACTAGGTTTTGTAATGTACCTTCAATTATCCCAAATATATGCGTTAAGTTTTTCTATAACATATTTTAATTCAAAATCGCCTGTGATATTTTTCAAGCACCTCAAGAGCATCCCATTTATCATTCATGAACATCTATTTAGAGGTTTTTCTTTACAGTGAACTAATGGCCTTGACATGGCATTGGGGGGTGGGGGACAGAGAAATACTATTGCAGACAAGTGTCCTCACCAGGCTCAAACTGCACTGCAGGGGCACAGCCTGCAGGCCTGGGGCCTCTTTGGGCTTCTGTTCACATAGGTTGATACGCAGGTGTGTTTTTACAGCCCTTCCTTGAAAGAGGAAGGACTTTGGGCAAAAAGAAAAAGGAAAGGAATATGGAGAAGATGTTCTGGGATCTTCCTGCTGCCCAGTCTGGGGAACTGGCTTCACAGCTTACTGGAGACCAGCCTGGAAGCAGATGGAGCTTCTCCTCAAAGAAGTCCCACTTGGTGAGACTCCAGACACTAAGCTTCAGACAACAAGAGACAGAGTTGGGGAGAGCCCCACCCCCCCACCCCCACCCCCACCCCCACCCCCACCCCCACCCCCGCCTTCCTCTGCCACAGGCCCCAGGGCAGGCGAAGGCTTCAGGCCACTTGTAGAAGATGCTCCAGAGCCTGGGGAGGGGACCATAGTCAGTCACAGAGGCCCCAGAGCAGGCCTGTGGCACACCCTCCCTTGAGATGCTGGCAGCCAGGGCAGTGTCCCTGAGAACATCTCTGACTCCCAAGGTGACCTAGAAGTTGGGAAGAAGGTGCTGACATGCTGCATGAGCTGGGGCGTCAGAGGCCAATGAGGTCAGGCAAAGGTGTGATCGGCCTGCCCCTTGTGCTCACAGGAGAGCTGGGGCAGGTCACACCACATCTCTGTATCCCAGAAACAGTTCACTTTGTCCCCTACAAGCAACTAGTCACTGCTGGACTCGCCCTGCCCTCATGTCGCAGCTGTTTGAACTTTCTTCATGGTCCCTGTTTGGCTTCAAGCCATCATCCTGCTGAAATTTGGCCTTGTCCGTTCTTGCTGCTGTCTTTCAAAGACTGAAAATAATTCTGACTGCCAGTCTGGGACCCTGCTGGTTGCTGACAGTCCTCTTGACTGCCTGTCTGGTAAGATCACCTCATCGTGCTTGGCCATGACGCACCTGGATTCCCGGGCATCATTATGACCTCTCCCATCAACCGTGGGATCACACCCTTCTCCCACCAGGGTGACTTCTGAGCCTTCTAAGCCACAGTGAAGGGTAGGGTGCCCCTTGACATCTCCATTTCAGCAAGCTGTCAGCAGATAACTTCACTCAAGGGGACCAAACACTGAAAATTCCTTGATAATCAGCGGTGGATTCATTTCATTGAAATGAAAGCCACCATGGAAGGAATTTGTAACTCCTAGCCACAAGAGCAAGATATGCTCTCTATTCTCATTATGAAGATCCTCAGGAAAATTCCCCAAACAGGATGGCAACCAGCCTGTGGCAGCTGTGTGTTAACTGCCCTCCATGTGGGGACACAGTACAGTTCATGATGAGCACTGATGTACTGAAGGAAATGAGTCATGTCTACTCCTTCCTGGTTACAGTCCCCGCACCCCTCCATGCAGTAATCCTGTGCTCTCTTGACATTGAAGTCTCCATAGGAAAATTAGGGGGAAGCTTTTTTCTTGTTATACACAGATGTCACCATAGCCTCAAATTCTACACAGGGCATAGTAACAGAAAGGAAGGACAATAGGGTAGCCTGGTTTGGCCTGGACCATGGAGGTTTCCAGAATGTGGGACTTCAAGTTTTAAAACTAGGACAATTCCAGGTAAATTTTCCTGATTTGTTGGGACTGAGAGGCTTTTTTTGGGACATGGAGTAGTGAGTGCTAAACTGAGGAAGTCTTAGAAAAACTGGGCAGAATTGCTCACTCTGAAAGTCAGTCAGGAAGACTAGACTGAGCCATTAAAGTTGTAACCTCTCGCTGAACCTGGACCCTGGGGCGCAGAACACCTGGCCCTGCAGATTCCATGTAGGGCCCAAGGGCTGGGAGAAGTGAGGGTGTCCTGCATAAATTGGGGCCTGGCTTAGTCTACAAAGTTTATATCATTGTTGAGGGGGGGGGAACCAAAAAGAATCAAAGTGTGGCCTGGCAGTTTCTAGAACATGAGTTTCCAAACTTTTCTGATTGCATAGTCCTCATAGTTACACAGCCTTGCACCTGTCACAGAGGTGGCTAACTGACCACAAAGATGGTGGCAGACTGTCACTATGAAGTCACAGCTCAGCCAAGG